AGCGAGATTATATTTAAATATATGTGCATATATGTGCGCATATATTTAAATGGATTATTATTTTTAATTAAATGTTTATATATATATATATATATATATATATAAACATTTAATTGATTTTAATTATAATAATAATTATTTAAATTTAAAATACCAATTATAGGGTGATTGGTTGCAAGGGTGAGTTTGTGTTGGTGCACATGGCTATTCCTTAATGGAATAGGGTTTTAATTAGTTGCACTATATAAATGCAACTTAAATTAAAACATTAATAAAAATATTACATTCATTCCATTAAAAATAAAAGAAAAACCCTAGCCACCCAAAGCTCTCTCTCACGTTTTCACTCTTTAGTGCAAGAGAAAAAATTCTTTTTCTCTTGATCTTTCTTGATTCTTAAAGCCCTTGGTTATTCTAGCAAAATAATCAAGGGTTCTGCAGATTATCTTCGTGTGGGCAGCGTGAGTGTGTTTCTACGTTGAATCAAGTAGCAAAATCATATCCGAAAATATTTGGAGGAGCCTTCAAACGTGTGTAAGTATACTAAATCCTTGTATGGATTTATTATATTGTTGTAATGCATAATTTATAAACATGTAAACACTATAATCAATACCCAAATTTGGGATTAAGCATTTGATCGGTTTTTATTTGTTTTTGAATCGCTGTTTTTCCATTGTGTATACCTAATCACTTGCTAACACCATGAAGTTTAACAGCTCATGCCCGAAAGTGGCATCAACAAGCTGATCGATTCTGGACAAAGGGAAACTGTCCTTCAGACAAGCTTTGTTGAGATCCGTGAAATCAACACAAGTTCGCCACTTACCATACGGTTTATTCACCAAAACAGGATTGGCGACCCAACAAGGGTAATGAGTCTCTCAAATGAACTTGATTGAGAAGAGCTTGTCCATCTCAACCTTAAAAGCAGCATAACACTCTGGGTCAGTAGCTCTTCTCTTTTGGCGAACAGGTCTGAATTCACTGTCGATATTGAGTGCATGACATATAACATCTGGGCTGATCCCGACCATGTCAGCATGAGTCCATGCAAAAACATCTATATTCTATCTGAGGAAGCTCGTTAAATCAGTAGCGAGCTGAGGGCTAAGATTGCTTTCGATTCTCAACACACGAGTCGGCTCATCCTAGTCAACTGAAACCTCAAATAAAGTCTCAATAGGCCCACTGTGGGAATACTCCTTCTTAACACGAGGATCGATACTTTCTTCCCCTGGACTGGGCTGTGGTTCGACCCTATTGATCGCTATTGCCTGCTTGGGAATGCCTACAAACTTCCCTTTCCTTTTGCATGTCATATGCACTGCTCTAACATAACAGTCGCGAGATTCACATTGAGACCCTTTAACTTCCCCACAACCTGTGGGAGTGGAAAATTTCATCTTCAGATGATAGATGAAGGTGACAACTTTGAAGTTCCGTAGTAGAAGTAGTCCCAAAATGCCATTGAAAGTTGACGGATAGTCTATTACCAAAAATTATGTCATCTTAGTCACTTCCTGTCACTTTGGGTCACGTTAAGACGCAAAGTGACAGGAAGTGCAATCGTTCCCCTTGGAATGAGATGATCTCTGGTAAAGCCATAAAAGGGAATGGAGACAGACTTCAGATATGTCTTCTCTAACTGCATTTCCTCAAATGCTCGCTAAAAAAAGATGTTCACGGCGCTCCCATCATCCACTAACATTTTGTGGACTTCGCACCTTCCTATCTCAGCCGTGATGACTAGTGCATCTTTATAAGGGTGATGCAATCGTACCGCGTCTTTCTCAAAAAAGGTAATCTCTTCTTCTCTACGTGCCTTAGTAGGTCGCGGTGTCATGTTTAACACACTCACAAGTTCATGCCAAGCCTCTCAAGCTTACTTCTCCTGAGCACCTAGAGATCTCCTCATGATGTGCGATCCCCCAAAAATAGTCCCCACGAAATGGAGACCCTTGAAACACAGCGCTTCTTCCCATCATCCTCTTGATCCTTCTCCTGAGTAGGAGTTGGACCATCAACATACTCCTTGAAATGCCCCTTTTTAATGAGGTCTTCAATAGCCTACTTAAGAGCTTGGCATTTATCGGTATGACGCTTATTATCCCGATGATAACGGCAATACTTCTTCTTGTTCCTTTTTTAAGGGGAAATTTTCTTGGGATTTGGCTCTCCGAGCATATTAGCTTCTTCTAATTTATCTAGAATAGCTGAAACTGATACCTTAAGAGGAGTAAATAAATTTCGGTCACGATCACGACGAGGGACTTAAGCGTAGGATTTCTTAGGCTTAAACAGCTATTTCTTTCCCTTTCTCTAATCGTCATTAGCCTATTTGTAATCAAATCTTCTACTACTCTCTTCCCGGTTTTCCTCCCTCCAACTAGGAGCGCTGGTCGAAAGACCGGGGTCATGGCAATTCAAAGCAACCACTAAATTCTCTATTCTGAGATATTTCTCAGTGATGTTGTAAAAGCAAGCGAGAGAAATATCGTCCTCAGACTACAGTTTCTTCCACAAGTTGGTTTGCGAGCAAACTCCAACGATAATGAGAGTTTGAACTGAATCTTTAGGTGTATTAGCCACCTTATTCAGTTCCTAATGGAACCTATCAATGTAGAACTGGAGAGATTCATTTCTCTCCTGTCGTATGTTGCTGAGATAGCTCAACGACATTGAGAACTTCCAATTGGCTTGGAAGTGTCTCAAAAATAATGAACACATATGTTGCCACGAGTTGATAGATCTTGGTGAAAGCAATAGGAACCAACGCTTAGCATGGGCAATCAAAGTCATTGGTAACAGCGACATTTTGCCAAGTTAGAAGCTTAGTGAAGCTTCATCAGGTCGTTAAACTCATAGATATGATCCTACGAATCAAAATTCCCATCGAATGCACCCATATCGGGATCTTGACGGGAGAGGAATAGTTAAAACTGTCGGAGAAAAGGGGGACGCCTCAACGACCTGCCCCTACTCATTCTACTAAGCTCTAAGCTGATCCAATGCTCGCTGTAACTCTTCTATTCGAGGAAGTGAAGCCACCTAGGGATCACTTTCTGCAATCTAGGTACGCTCCTTACGATTGTGATCAAGGAAAGACTGCAAATCGGACTCTTTCTCGCCTTGACTGGAGCCTTTGGCATACCTTGACGCACGCTAGCTAGAGTCATGTGAAGTCACTAAATGGCTTGGGGAGTTCTCCCAACCTCTACAGTGGTTGGAACCGACCCGCAGACCCACTATTTCTCTTGCAGTGTTGGTCGAAACCATCATTCCAACAATAATGGGAATCTCCTTGCCGAGCACTCTTGTAGGGGTGCCCTTGCGACATGGCGTGAGATGGCTCACAATGTGACATACCGCCAAGTCACAAAGATACAGATATTCTTCCTGTTTCACAGCTGGTATTCACTAGCCCTTGAGAGCCTTTTGACCTATTGTCAGCCATTTGTTTTCCCTTATTTTTACGCACTATAGTGCGCGTGGTATGAGTTTTTTCCTGTTTCCAGGCTTTAGAGCGACCTACAGGCCTTTTTTAAGGCAGCACCGCCTTATCAGAATTGGACAGCACAACCTCATCCAAACGATCTAACATCTGGTTAACCATTTGGAGGGTGTTGTTGAACTTTCCAGGTAATCTGTTATCGCTTGGTTTCATGACCTCGAGCCATAAGTTCGTAGATAGAACTAATTGATTAGAATACTAGAGGAAGAGCTGATGTGAAATCTCAGTCCTTCTTCCAGCGCCAAACTGTTGATGCGTGATTTTGATACCAATGACCTCGCAGGTAATAAAGTGCTAAGCTGGCCTTAGAAATTACACGTGATTAATTGATTTTAGATTTAGGACAAGGTTAATAACACAAATGAATGAAAAGACTGCATGATAAGTAAGACAGATGGATTTTTATAGTGGTTCGGATACTTAAAGCGATTCCTACATCCACTGTTGCTTTTATATAAATGTGTGTTACAAGAGGTCACGTATAGCGAATAGCAAGCAGAGGTACAATAACTGAGTATTCAAAGAGAATATCAGGTTAGTCTCTTTCTCATAGGTTATCTTTGCTATTGATTGTTATGAAAGTAAAAGATCCCGAATTTGAGAGGGGGAGTCCTCTATTTATAGCTGATGAATTCAAGATAATGATTACAAGTCTGCAAGTAGGGAGGTACTGTGCAAGTCCTTCCTTGCCTCCCACTAGCTGATAACTTAAGAAATATCCTCAAATTATTTAGGGTTTAGACATGTGTACAGTCCTCATTCACTCATAGACAAAACCTGAATTCGTTAAGTTGGTGACAATCGCATTCTCTCTGTCTTGGGGCGACGTGGCAACTCTTAAATGACGCAAAGTCTTCTTGAACTCTGATTGGTGCCCACTGATGTAAGCTTACGTCAGCCTGACTTTTTAGGCATAACATATATATATATATATATATATATATATATATATCTATCTTTGGTTTTTAAATTGAATATGGAAAAATAAAAAAGGGTAGATTGAAGAATTTAATTGAGCTTTTAAGAGTTTCTCCTCCCGAAAATGCTCCTGTGGCTATACTCAGGCATGGTCGGAGAGTAAATCTAAGCTTATAAATTATACTCTTGAGGTAGTGTGCACAGGTCATTTCATATAATAAACCCAAGATTTTATAAAATGGAAGGAATAAAGAAGAACTGTGTTTCGTGCTTTACCAAAGGGATGCATGTTCAATTGTTCATGGAAGACAATGTGATTAGAGATCATTTTGGTCACAATTACAACACAAACTAAATTATAAAAGCCATAAAAACTTGTAATTAAATCATGAGTTGTATCTTATTAAAACTACCAAAAATTAAGTGAAATGCAACTGTAAGTCCAACACAATAAATAATGGTCAACTAACACGTATTTTGAAATAACAATAATAGAACGTATATACTCCAGAGTCCGCAACCCATTCAACTTTCATCTTAACAATGGATGGATATGCATTGAAGACCCTTCAGAAATAGACTTTTTTTCACATTTAAATTTCATGGTTTTTCATGCCTTTTTTCGGGAATAATTGTATAGGGCTAGTACAATCTGTTGTCAAAAATGATGGTGGATATTGGGATGGGCATAGTTATTATCTCTAGATTTGCGGTTCCCCGTATGGTATTGAAAAATAAAAAGCCCAAAATCCATAGCTATCTTTCCACAAAACCAAAATTAGTCTCAATTCCCGTCGCGTAAATGTAGAATACATAAATGCTGCTGCAGTAGAACACAACAAAAGCAAGCAAGCAGCAGGAGGCTCATCGCTCAAACACGCCACCAGTCAATTTAATTTTCAATTACGCTTCAAAACCCCACATACTGAAACTTTTCATAGGAAAAGGTACAAAAGACGAAAATTCTAATAAAGTCAACCCAAAAAATTAGGTCAAAAGTCCCCTGTCAGCTCATCGCCTGCGCATACCACGGCCACGGCCACGGAATGCAGCTCCACCACGACCTCTGCCACCCATGGCACTTGCAGCTGCTTCTCCCTGAGCACTCTCAGACTGCATAATTAAAAAGCAAGAGAAAACCATTAAAAAGCTAAACATCAACAATGCGAACTTCCCAGGTATGTCCAAACTACAGTGCTCAATATTGAGCCCCCACTGATCCTGGCATATTGCTGATTCTTGATATCGGTTGCAATTGATGGATATTACAATTACAAAAGAAGTTTAAGGAACAAGCAATAGCTAAAGCACACGAGTTCAGATTGCTGGCTGCACATAATACAGTGAAATACAACAATAGAAATAAATATAATTAGCAGTGCCTTTTTTTTAGTGCATATATGTGGAGTAAGACTATGGCATTTAGCTAGAGTAAACTATTCAACCAAACATACAAGCGCTAAGTTTCAAGGCTGTATCAGTATATGCAATTGCATCAGTACACTAGAATATGGAGTATTGGTGTAATAGTACTTGAGTGTCAGTGATACGGATTTTGCATATACCGGTTGCAAACTGTTCACCTTCCAGCAAATTTTAGCATACAAATCACAACCCAAAGAAAGCCTACTCTCATATCCAAACATAAATACATCATATTTCACCTTAAAAAGGCTATTCTAATAGAATTAATCAAGCAAAAACAATAGATTTCAAAAATCTAAAAGTGTTCTAATATTGAACAGGTTTGTTTGGTAGTGATAATGATGTGTTCTTGATAGACTGGATGAGTGATCTTAGTCCTAATAACCAGAACTGTTTTGATCAAACCCCAGTTTTGTGTTTTGAATGAGGAAATTAAAAAAGTGTGTTAGTGATTGTTAGATTTAAGAGGGCGTATTTTGACCCTTAAACATGAAGAGCGATCAATGAAGAATTGGGTCTCTTCATGTTTAATGACCAAAATACACTCTCTTAAATCTAATAAACACTAACACACTTTTTCAATGATGAATTGGATTATAAAAAGTGGATAAATCTTATTGACCCTCAAATGTATGGTCAAATAAGTTAATTTCCCAAGATATTATCAAAACACAGAAGTCCAATATTGCAGACAGCACTGACACGTGAAACCTTGACCAAAAAAGAAAAACACAGAAGAACAAAGGCCACAACCACCTATAGATTTATATCAAATAACACAGATTGACAGACAAGATAGTTTCTGAACAGAACAATAAGTTCAAGCCTTTAGCTTAACATAAGCAAGGCGATCATTGCAATGATATGGATGAAGCACCATGGAGTTATGTAAGTACCGCATTTGGCATGCATAGCATTTTATATCAAAATCAGTTACACTACCTTAGGGTTCTTTACTGTTTCATCAACACTCAAGATAAGGCAAGCAGCTTCAGTAGCAGCATTTATAGCATTAATCTGCAACAAAGGATAAGCAATCACCATAGGGATCAAAGGTACGGATAACATGAGCAAGGAAATATCACAGTTCTTGTTAGATAAGTAATCAAGAAAGTTTAGTAGACAAATACCTTAACAACGGCTGGCTCCCAGACAAAGTTAGCAAATGAATCTGCAATTCCACCAGTGTTGATATCCACGCCATAAGGAGCCCCCTCACCTGATAAAAACCAAGCAGTCTTGAGTTGGAAAAGAGTTTTACTAAACATTTTGAGCCAGATATAAATCAACCATAACAATCAGGTATCATTAACATTCAAACATGAGTCCTGGTGAGGGGAAGAAGGCACCATATCCACAGTATGGATGGATAAGCACACAGATACCAATTCATTGTAGAGATTGTGGTGACTTCACAAATACAGAAGTGGAAATCTTTAAATGAATTACTACAAAAGACTAACCAGATGGAAGTGCATGCTTCTGTCTTAATTTATTCAGCACATCAGTTGCATCAAATCCAGCATTGTCACACAGTTGCCGTGGGATCACCTGCAACATGAAGAAGAATATCTCATAGAAAATATCTTATCAAATGCCTATACCCTTTGAGAAAAGCAGCAGCAGATCATTATATTCAAAAAGCATTAAAAAGTTTACATTCTGAGTTTTCTATGAATGTATCGCCTTCAGAGTTTCAAAGGCAACGATAATTATAACACTGCCCCATGTTAAGAGGATTAGAAATTGATAGATGCATGTAAGCCATAATCCTTCACCTTCTAATAAAACAAGATCCTCATAAAAATAAAATAGGTATAGACTATTGTATGTTCAAGCCAAGACATGCAAAACAACTATTGTGTTATTGGCAAGATTGTCCAATCAAAAGAGAGAGACTTTATTGTATATTAAACCCCTCACTTTTGTGAGCACCACCTCCCATTACCACTTTTGCTACAAAAAACCACTGAGCATGTTAAGAACAGAAATATTAAAAGCAAAGAATCCATTTTGCTTACTTTTGAGCTTTTAAAAGGAGGTGCTTGAGACCTTAATTAATTACTTTATTTATTTTTTGATACCTAAAAATCCTCTGCCCTCACTTACATGTGCACCAGATAAAAAATGAGAAGCTAAATTAAACAAAACATTTAAATCTGTATTCTTACTTAACTATGTCCACAGATGCTTTCATAAAGAGCTATATGAATCTCTTTTAAAAATGGCATCACAACAAAACATAATTTAAGGATATTAGTCATGATTCAAATACCCAAATCCATCATAATGCCTTTAATTCTTTTTTCTTGATTCATTTTTTTCGGGGACAGTTTGATATAAAACACCTCCAAGAAGAATGAAGGTCTACTATGAAGAACAAAAGAAAGTCTAGCATTGCTTCTGTCTCACTTACAGACACAAAAATTCCCTTAGCATAAAAAAGTTTAAAATAATCCCCGACAGAACTGATAGAAACAGTGAACAAACAATTTAAAACAATAATCCTCATCAAAAGTCTCAAATTCTTTTGGATGCTGTAAGGCAGAGAGTTCCGTGAAACTTTTAACAAATCTGAAATTTGAATATCACGGACCACAATTTTATCAATCAAAGCTGCTAGATGCTTAATAGTAATACCACAGATAAGAGAAACCACTATAACTTATGACCTCATGCAGAATATTACTAAGCTAGTTTATATTCCCAAAAAAAAAAAAAAAAAAAAGTGCGTGATAAATAGTTTTGATTAATGTTTTACCAAAATTCAATCACCATAATATATAAGCCCTTATATTTCCATCTTCCATTCCAGTAATTAAAGAAAGCAATGCAGATAGATGACCACTTAAATACACACCAATAACAGTGTTACTCAAGCTATCAGTTTGACCCCAAAAGAAGTAAATAGTTTCAACAACCGCCTGGTAAACCATTTTCATGAAATCTAAAACATGAAACCCCATTGTCACCCACCTCAAGAGCTTTTGCATAAGAGTTGATAAAGAGCTGCGACTTTCCAGCTATTGTTCGTGCATGCTGCCTCAAATACCGGCTTATCTCCATCTGCCGCCAAAAACAACTCAAATAAGCAACACTGAATTACCATTAGAAATCAGACTGTACCATGCTACATTAGGTATTATCAATCATACATCTATAGCACCACCGCCAGCAACTACGGTAGAGTTCTTCAAAGCCCTTCTAACAATCATGATTGCATCATGTAAACTCCGCTCAGCTTCCTCAATGAACTGGAGACAGTAGAGCAAAAAAACCCAAGGTCAACATGATCATTAATTATAAATATTCATCCTTTGCTATTTCAAAAGTGACAGACCTGATCAGCTCCACCACGAAGAACTATAGTGGCTGTCCTCCCCGAAGGGCATCCACTGAATATATTAAACCTCTCATTTCCAACTTGCTTTTCCTCAAAAACTTCACAAGTCCCAAGAACCTAGCAGCCAAAAAGGTCTCCAAATTTCAATTCAGAAAAGAAATATTCTTTGCTAACATATGGGAATGTGCAGCGAGCATTATCTAAGGAAATGTCTAAATCTTTTAAGTGAATCAATGGTGTCTTACCTCATCAATAACATTGTTCACAGATGTTTGAACAGTTCCACCAGTTGCGGCAGCAACCCGTTGCAGATCTTCTTCAGCAACACGGCCAGCACAGAAAATATCTCGGTCTGCGAAATACTGAAAAAAAAGATAATGTTTTGATAAAATTGCCAATATAATTTATCAATCAAGAGTTATCGCGCTTCTAGAAATTTCATTCTTTATATTCTACACTTGAAAATGATAAACAGTAGCATACTGTAGCAGGAAAAATAAACAAAAAACATAAAATAGCAAACCATTAGAAACATATGTATATTATATTCTTAGGTGAGCTAACACAAGCTAATTTTATGGACTCTTGTATGAAGCCACAATGCCAAAACTTGTAGCTGTACAAAATAATTGATTGGCTTCACTGAGTAATAATATACCATGTTTACACCTTTGTATATGAATGAATGCAAATGATTTTCTCATATTGCATGACTTGTCAGAAAAATAACCCTTTTACAAAGTAATCCAGTTCCAACTGAAGTAGCAATTCAGGAAACATAATCACCTGTGTGGCTAGATCACCAATGGCAAGCCGTGAAAGGACAACTTTGGCTCCAGACTGCACACACTTATCCAACTTGTCATAAATGATATTCCATTCTGCGTCAACAATTGACTGATACTGTGATGGATCCGAAAGTCTGAAGCATAGTGATCAAGAAAAGAATAAGAGATCATAAAATAAACAAGGAAGGTAAAGGCTGCCCAGAAGTTGCATATATGAGAGATTATAGAAAAGAAACTGACCTGATTTCCGCATTTTCTTTCTCAGATTTCAGTTCCAACTCAATATTCAGCAAGAGTATTTTTGGATTTAAGAACTTCTTCGGTTGCTGTTCAAACCCTGCATATGAAAACGTCTTTTTAAAGGCAACTCCATTTACCAGGAAGGAGTCCCTCATGGTACCACCTGGAACCTGTACGAGTAAACCAATTCCCGTCACACTAATTTCCAATCAATATTTCCAGAGAACATCAAAGTTACACCAAAATGAAATGAAGAGGAAAACACTAACAGAAAATGACAACTAAAATGTATTATAATAATAAAATCACAAGAAGGAAGAATAAACAACTTTAAAAGATTGCTACAAATCAAAATTAGATCAGATGATAAAAACTCAGTTGTTAGAATATCCTGTCAAAGCAAAAGTTTACTCTCAGTTAAAGTAGAGTAACTTTTGCCTTCCTTAAGTGAAGGTGGAAAACAATTCCTCCAAAATAAATAGGGTGACCGATAGTGAGTTTCTGGTTAATGGTGTCAAGAAGGTATTAACCACCGGCAACTGTAAATTTATGAAAGCGCCATTCGGAAATAGTTATTTTTATGAGATAAGGACAAGTTCCTACAGAAACTACCAGGTGGGGCCCAAGTTTAGATCCACATCCGTTATAGATTGGGCAATAAGGGGGAACATCTCTTTTTTTTTTTTTCCTGGAGTAAGGACCAATTGCCCTTATTGATTAAAAAAAATTCATCAATTTTTTCTCAAGAGAAAGCAACACACGTAAGTCAATTTAAGGGCAAGTGAAAAAAAATCAAGGCAACTAACTTAGGAATCCAATATGCAAACAAAGTAAGCCTCAATGCAATTGAGCACTCATGCTCTTACCTATGTCAGCAAAACTGTAATCTGTATGACATCACTGTGAAACTTAATCACATTTCTTACCCCTAAAGTGCATAAAGTTATGTTTATCCCAACATTGGAAGAAATGAACCTTTATGACGATAAAATTAAACAACACAACAAATAGTTAGGCCTAACTAAGAAACTGAGGTCTGGAAACATAGTGGATATCCACAAGGTGAGATTCTTAACCAAAACAATGTGAAGAAGACATCCATACCTTCTTAATTCCAATCAAATTCAACCTATCATCGTTCCCAATAGCAATTACAGAATCAACAACCATTGAGGCAAAGAACTCTTTCTCCCCACCAATGAGTTTGGAAGAGAGTGTGGTAGCAGCACATTTCGCCAGCAAAGTCTTCTTCTCCTCTAGACTTTTTCCCTCTATGCTAATAGCTAATTCCTTGATCTTCTCAATAGCCTACCACCAAATCAAATAAAAGCTTTAGAAAGTTGAAAACATAATAAAATCCCTAAAAATGATTTCAAATCTCAACATCATACACACATACATAAACATACCAAATGGCTTGCAGTGCGAAAACTCCTAATCAAATTCTGAGGGTGAACTCCATCTTCAATAAACGGCTTAGCCTCCCTCAAGAACTCAGCAGCAAGTAGAACAACAGTAGTGGTACCATCTCCAACCTCGGAGTCCTGAGACTTGGCGATGTCGACGAGAATCTTCGCGGCGGGATGGACGATGTCAAGAAGCTTCATTATAGTTGCTCCATCATTTGAAATCGTCACACTTCCCTTATCATCGTGGATCAGCTTGTCCATCCCTCGCGGTCCCAGCGTCGTCCGCACCACATCGGCCACCGCCGTGCACGCGTTTATGTTGCTCACCAACTGCGCCTTCCCTTGCGACGTGTCCGTCCCTTCCTTCAGCAGTATGATCTGCGGCTGCTGCTCGTTTCACATATAAAATACCCAGTGTTATCTCTATACGAGTAAAATAAGTACCAAAAATTCGGACTTGAGAGTGTGATTGTGTTACTTACCAGCATGGCTGCCATTGCGGTTGCGTTGTTGGCGGAAACAGAGGTTCAAAGTTGAGTCTTCAAGTGGAGTGTAGTGGAAGAGCAGAGATTTTAGGGTTTTTTGTTTTTTTGATTTTAAATGAAGGAGATGTCTCTGGTTGGTTCTAGTTTTAGTCCAAATGATTTGGGGAATTCTCATAAATAACCTTATTTCATCGGTGCTTTCCCGAAATTCACTTATCATTTTCATTTTCTTAAAACAAACAATATGTAATAAAGAGGGTCTTATGCATAATTAAAAAAATTCAAAACATTAAAAATTTAAAAGATTTAATATATACTATAAAAAATTGTTTTATCTTTTCATTTTCTATTTTTTATATGATTTCATAATTATCTTAAGAAAACATTAACAAAAATATTTTGTAGTGATTTTGCAGTGATTTTAGTTATGGAGAATAAATTAGGTCGTTTTAAAGAAGTTAAAGAAATATGAATGAGGGTAATTTTGTCCTTTAAAATTGTTAGGCTATTTTATGAGATATTTGTGCGTTTGTTTTATTATTTTGAATAGTATTTTTGAAATATTATCGTTAAGTTGAGTTAGATTATTATTATGAAATAGGAATTGAAAATTAACAAAAAAAACTCTTAAATTTGTTAATTTAGCTAAACACCCCAATAATAAAAAGTTTATAAATTGATAAAAACACATCATCCACCCACAGACCACAGTTACTAGATTCCATTTTGTGACTAGTTTTCATTTCACACCCTAAAATAAGTCTAAATAATTTAATTTCCCTTATATTTATGTTTTACATTTTGTAGTGCTTTAAATTAAAAAAATATAATACAAAATAATTACTCATAAAGCAATCAAATTTATATATAATTATAATGAATTAAATTTTTTAAAGCTAAAAAAAAAAGTAATCTTCTTATATATATATATATATATATTATATATATAATATATATATATATATATATATATATAATACATCGTATTGTCACCACTTTACATCTAACATCTTTTGATATATGCTGTATATTTCAAATACCTAACTACACATTTCTCAAATTTTTCAAGTCCCGTCGGGTTGGGTAAAAATGTCTCCACCCCTACTTACCTATCAACCCAACTCAATCTGATTTCTCCGAATCGGGTCGAGTGGTCGAGTGGGGTAAAAATGTGCCCACCCCTATTACAAGATTGAAATTTGAAAACATTATGAAGAGCCCGAATCATCTAAAACAAAGATTAGGCAATAAATACTCTAAGAGACTAAATAAAAATATGTTAGGGATTTGAAATTATAGTTCTTCTCCTTGAATTTTAGTAGAAATCTGGAAGATGGCCCAATGAAATTAGCAGTTTTTTTGTTGCTAGAGTGTTTAGTGCTTAGTACAGATTGAAGAAGGCTTATTCATTATGTGTATATGGTGAAAGATTTAGATTTTTCTAATTTATGTGCATAGGTAAAGCGTCATGGCATATAGAGATTTTGTAGAAGATAATGTAATACCCTGAATAATCCATTAAATACGTGAAATTATATAGATCAGATTAAACATACCATAGGGTAGAATCCAATATACATGAACCATTCAATATGTGGTTTACAGTCATGTTTATCTAGTGAGCATATTTAGTAAACAACAGTAATAAAAGAGTATTACACTTATAAAGACTTTATACAAAGTATCCATACAAAGTGATATGATACTACTCATGCACTGTAATATTATTCACTATCATTTAACGTGCATTTATTAAATTGATTTTTTATTTAATTCTTCTAATTATAATATGACACGTCACTTTATAGGAAGGTCGTTCACTATAATATAACACGTCACTTTGTATAAAGTCTTTGTAAGTATATATATAGAATTATTTGTAAATAACATTTTAATCTATGATTTGTTTTCAAACATGTTTGCTATTTAACACTAGGGTGTCCATTGTCTAACAACAGAGATAGACCTAATACAACATAGCCTTTATGATTTGTTTTGAACATCCACTCTAAAGTCTAGACTACCTACCTACTCGAGCAAGTATATTGAAACTTTGGGTGTAATAAAAACAATGTTACGCGTACAATTAAGTTATACAATCAGAAAAAAAATAAAAAACAAATTAGTCATTTTACATGAATCTTCTGTAATTTTTGTCTGGTAGTATTACTCTTTGTAAGCAAAACATTATTGGGTGTAATAAATTGTTATTGCTAACCAAGAGAGGTTATGAAAGCCCATCAACAAATTACACTGTCAATTAACAAAATAAAATCTTATTTATAATGACGGGTTTAAACCAATTATCTCCTTGTGGTTTCCGAATTGACAGTTAGATCCCTTGGTTATGCAGATTATCCAATTACTTCATTTGCCATTAGTTTTTGTCGTTAAATCTAACTGTTAACCAATTTTGACTACTAAATGATAACGGCTCCGTTTGGTTGGTTTTTGGGAATACTATTATTAGTATTCTCAAAAAAGTTAAATAGTAAAATGCCAAAAAACTCACAATATTATCCAATATTATTCAACTTTTTTTAAACCCCCTAAATTTTTTAATTTAATTAAATACCCCTAAATATTTTTTTTTCAAAATTGTAAAAACAACCCTAACCCACATTATACCAGATTCCGGCCACCATTGTCAGAAGTTGGCTGGAATCTGATTTAATGGCACACTCCCGGCCAGATTCAGCCGGCAGTGCGCCGATCTAGCCTTTTCTGGCTAGATCCACGGTGGATCTGGCCGGAAAATGTCAGATCTAAGGCCAAAGATCTGGCCGTTGACGGCCAGATCTTTGGCCGTAATCAGACGTCAACGACGGCCAACATATGGTCGTCATTGACCATCAATGATGACAGTATCTTTGGCCGTCGTTGACGAGCAAATGAGGCCAGATCTGACCGTCAATGGCCAGATCTAACCGTAGATCTAGCCTTTGTCGGCCAGGTCCATGGTGGATCTGGCCGGCAAAGGCCATATCGACGAACAACCGGCAAAATCCAGTCGGTCATGCGCAGATACGGCGACTCCGGCCACCCTTCGGCGGTGGTGGCCGGCTGTGATTATTCAATGGGTGGGTTAGGGGTGTTTTTGTTAACTTTCAAAGTTTTATTATAGGGCTGTTTAATAAATAAACAAACATAGGGGGTATTTTTATTAATTTCTAAATCCTACATCGTAATACCCGCCCAATTCAACTTTTTTTAAAAAACTTTTCTAAAAAATGCAAAAAAATGAACCAAACGGAGCCAATATTATTTTTTAAAAATTTAAAAGAAAAGCCTAAAAGTTTTGAAAAAATTTATTAAAAACACCAAAAAATCTTAAAAAGACGTTAAAATAATAAAAAATTATATATTTCTTTGCAAAATTTCTAAATTTTTTTTGGGTTCTTTTAATTGTTTTTAAAATTTGTATGTTTTAGGTAATTTTATTGAATTTTTTATGTTGGATTAAAATTTTATTTATAAAAAATTGATATTTTTCTTAATTTTGTAGAAACTAGGGTGCACTTGGTTCATTATTATGATTAATATTTTGAAAAAAAAAAAAAAAAAGGTCAAATTTGGTGGTTATTACCATGTAGAATTTGAAAATTAACAAAAGTACCCCTTAGGTCTGTTTATTTATTAAACACCCCTATAATAAAATATTAAAAATTAACAAAAACACCCCCACCCACCCATTAAATACCGACAATCGGCCACCACCACTGGAAGGTGGCCGGAGTCACCGTATCGGCGTACAACCAACTGGATTTGATCAGTCATGCACCGATATGACCTTTTTCGACTAGATCCACGGTGGATATGGCCGGAAAATGTCAAATCTACGGTTAGATCTGCCGTATTTGGTCGTCAACGATTGGCTATAGCCAAAGATTTGGCCGAAAAAGACTAGATCGGCGCACTACCAACCAGATCCAGTTGGTAGTGCACTATTATACTAGATTCCGACCAGCTGTCATCGGTCGGGGCCGGAATCTAGCAAATGTGTGTTGTTGGGGTGTTTTTGTTAATTTAAAAAAAAAGATTTGGGGGTGTTTAGTTAAATTAACAAATCTAGAGGGTTTAAAACATTGAATAATATGGACTAATATTTTGAGAATAAGGAAATAAATATGTATTTTTGATAGAATAGAGAATATAGTAGTGAAAAATTGTGTATCAAAGGAGCCCTCATTTGTAGAGGTAATTTTGTAATTGTAAAAGTCAAAGTCGGTCAACAATTAAATTTAACGGCAAAAACTAGTGAATGGGGAGGTAGTTTGATTTGATAATTGGCATAATTAAGGGACCAACTCAGTTTTGGTCCCTTCGGAAAGCACACCCTTAACTTTCATGATAGCATACACCTCTAACTATTTTCATAGTATTTATCTTAAAAGTCTTTGTTGTTTCCCATGTGCTCTGTCAATGTGATTCTCCCATATGAGTAATTGAGTTTGAGTATACATAAAACTTATGTACTAAATTGAACAAATTGAAATTTATATCCATTTTTTGTATTTCATAAAAAATTGTACATAAATTGATAATATCCCTTTTTGAAACAGAGCAAATAATTAATGATTTCTAGAACCCTCAAGCCTCATTTGGATTCAGGGATTCTAAATGTTATACTTACAATTAATTCAAATAACCAGACATATACAATCAAGACAAAAATTGCCACAAAATTCATTTAAAAAGATTACTCTATCCTATATTGTATGACTTGGTTGTAAGTATTGCATTATTTTTTTGAAAAATTCACCACCCTCCAAAATCCTTCATTTTTTAGGGTTTTAAATTCCTACATGATAGGTGGGATTTTACCAAATCCATCAATTTCAATAAAATGAGGGATTTTGCTAATATTTTAATTTTTCAATATTATCATTGTTAATAATTTAATATCCTAGTAATTACCCTTTACCCTAATTAAAAGAAATATATTTCTCTCTTTTTGAACTCTTCACCTTGACATCACCAGTATCTTCAAAACATCCTAGAGAAATAAATGAAGCTTGCTAATGTTCCAACAAGTTTTGCATGTTTTTGGTTTTGGACATGTTGTTAGTGTATTATATTGATACTAATTTTCTATATAGGTATGGTTACGTTATATGTTTTAAATGAAATTATTCAACAATTGAAGTTATG